TATTTAAAGATGAATCTTGGAAAGTTTTATACCGTTATAGCCATCTTTTTGTGTCTAAATCAACCAATTTTGCTGGCTCTTCCTGCCATGCTCTATGCCTGTTTAAGTATAGCAAACAGAAGTAAAAAAAATGGAAAAGACAAAGGGAAATAAAGCTGCAGACTTAGGAGCAATCATAAAATCATAGACTCATGAAGTTTGGAAAAGGCCACTAAGATCATCTAGTCGAACTGTCAATACATCCCCACCATGCCCACTGAACCATGTCCCTCAGTGCCACATCTACTCTTTTCTTGAGAACTTCCAGGGATGATGACTCCACCATCTCCCTGGACAGCCTGTTCCAATGCTTCACCTCTCTTTCAGAGAAGATTTTTTTTCCTAAATTTCTTCTTTACTATATGGGTGGGAATTGTAGAGACAGAGGCAAATTCACCTCACTGGAACACAGTATAAGGGCAGGCAGGGATCAAAGGACAGGCTGAGACCAATGTCAAGAAATTAACCTTAGGTATAGATAGAGGAAAAACTCTGCTATGAGAGAACCAAAATGGAGTGGGCTGCTTAGAGTGTCATTGCCATCCACAGAGAGTTCTAGAATTGATAGGATATGGAAAAAAGTGTCATCACTCTCAGAGGCTGGAGTAGACATCAGAATTGGTCTTGCTTTGAGAGGGTGTTGATTGAGATGAAATCCATGAAAATCTAAGTCATGCTGTGATTCTGGAATTTAGTTCAATTTACTTATCAGGTGCCAAAAGTGTTGACAGTTTCAGTGCCTGTAGATGAGTAACACTGCATTAACATGAATGTTTAAAACAAAACTGGTGCACACCTTTATGATGGGAATTACCTTATATGTTTTGGTACGATGCTATGATAGATGGTAATAATATATAGTATAATTTATTTCACTGAAACTCTCCCCACCCCAACAGATGACATTCTAATTTATCTGTGATGCTCTGATAAAACCTATAGTTTAGGCATATATTAGGAATAAGAAAATACTTTCGGGTATTTTCTATGCAATACACACTTGCTCCAGTGCACTAGTTATGACTCCTGAAAGATTTTGTTTCATCCTCAGAGTCAGATTTCTAAAGAAAATGTGTATTCCAAATTACGTAGATCCGAAACAGTATTATAAGAATGAAGTGTTTTTGTTTCTGTAAACATTAAATGCCAAAGGATTTGAATTGCCTTTGATGTTAAAAATTAAAAAAAAAAGGGGGTTTGGTTATTAATACATTTTTTTTAATCCATAGATGTCAGCAAAGCATTCTTTGTTTCTAAAATCTATAGTGCATATAATGATAACTAGGTATTTGTTTTTTTAAGCACACATTTTTTAAACACATACAGAGAAAGTGAAGTTTTTACTTAGAATTCCCTTCAATGTTATTATTTGCAGTTTATTTTTAATATGACCTAAAGTGATATATTGACCTCAAAGGAACATAAGTAGCAAAAAAAAAATCCTTTTTTTTTTCTTTGCTTCCATCATGTTTGTACATCCTATATAAAAATTAATTCTATTTGGACTGTGTACAGAGGGACATCTGCTCACTGTGTACAACTGCTGATCTGCATACAAATCCTGTGCTCCACTGTCAAAAAACTACTAACCACATATAAGGAGATCACGTGTTCTTTACTTAATGTGGTTGTGCAAGGAGAACATGAAAATAAAATTAAAAAATAAACCATTCTCTTCTGATTACAACTTACATCACCTTGCACCTGTGTAAACCACATAACAAGGTGTGAAGAAGTCAGAAGCTAGGGCCTGAATACTTCTCCACTAACAAAGATGCTTTAAAAAGATCATTGTCTAAAATTAGTTTCTACCACAGGAGAAGAAAATTAACATACTTAAATATTTACAAAGTGAATAAGAATCAACTAGGAAATCAACATCCTCTCTAACATGTAAATAGTATATGACAAACTATTCAGAATGGAAGATGTATTCAACAACTTGAGCCCCATTTTCTTTGCATGCATCTTCCTGAATAGACTTGATTTTTGATAATGTTCTCATTATTCAAAAATATTTTAACCGGTCATTACCCCAGGATGAAAATAAGCAGGAATGAGTCCTGAGGCTGTTTGAGGTGGCTCAGAAATATTCATTTGCACTTTAAAAGAATTTTCTGGCATATTAGAATTGTTCTTTGAATGCTCAGAGTTTGCAATATGATGGAAGACACTCTTGGTAAATGTTCTTTCTCGTCAGTAGTCCCTTTCAAATTTAACTAGGTTGCTAAATTCATGCCTTTCTTTGATTTGGAAGAATGCCTCACCGATACATGGCAAATGTGTGACACTATTTCCGACAAGGTGGATTCATACAATTTCAAAACCACAAGTTATGTTCTGATGATACTGAACTTTGTTGAAAACTTCATAAAGCTCTTCAGTATTTGCTTTGAGCTACTTAGAGTCACAATGGATTAATTTTAAGGATCTACCTAAAGGAAATACAGACTTAGGCCAAATACTGAGAAACAGATCCTCTGAAAAGTTTCCTATTCCTATAGAGAAGTTAGAGAAAGAATGTGCTGAGAGAATTCTCGTCTCCTTTTCTGTAGGAGGTGAAGGGACAGCACACAGGAATGGAGGTAAAACTGTGACACAAGGGAATTAATGATCAAAGGCACAGAAAAAAATTTGAAGTATAACTTGAAAACCATAGCAAAAAAAAATTCTTTTTTTTTAAAGAAATAAATACAAAACCTACAGCAGTTAGCAGGCAATATTTTCTTTTAAACTCATTTGTTTCTTGACCAATCCTCACCTGAATAAAGCTATTGTCCTAAAGACAGGCAGAAACAGGAGAATGGGACACCTGAGTACAAGTCTGAAGTTTGTAGAAGGCTGTAGATCTCCTTCAGAGCAATACCACAAAAGAGAGTAAAGGAAAATGTATCCACTGGCCTATTGAAGCCAATGACTCCTGAAGTGATAACAGATATTTCCTTCTAAGAGAGGAAAAGTAATAGCTCTTTCATACCTGACTACCCTGCTTGTTTTCAAAGACAGTTGTAATGAACTGCCTAAAATAGCATTTCATGAAGTAGTTCTGTGTTTAAAGTTACTGGCAAAGTGCTGAAAAACCTTGAAACCTGTATCTAATGTATGTTGCCAAGATACATAATGTTTATGCTAAACAGAGAACTAAAACAACAGAAGGGAAACACTGCCTTTTTACTATTATTGTTAAGATACAGAGTAAGCCTGTTACTAATACAGAGGAGAAAATAGCATAGCATAGCAAGGCTTCTTGCTCTCAAGTAGGTACAGACACCATTACACATCCACACTCAGCTGAATCATAAAGATGCATTAGGTGCTCTGGATAGAAGTGCTTGCTTTTCAGGCCATCCTTAAGACTTTGCAGCATTTCAAAGACCCCACAATCTCTAGTATAATTTCTTGTTAGTGGCTAGTATTTATACGTACTGAAGTTTTCACTCCAGTTTGTCATCTATTATTTGAGATCTCCAAGTAGATATTTAATAATTATAATATTATTATAAAGGCAAATAAGCATTATGTGATATTGTTCAGGCACATAACTGAATCCATTCAAGTGGGTGTACAAGTAATTCCACAGGTCGAGCAAATGCAGCATTCATGAAAGCTGCCAGTCATGGAGCTTTCTAATTGCTGCCTATTCCCAATCAATATGACAAAAGTACTCATGCCTTACCCAGACTGTACACTGGAATTTATCCCAGCTGTACCATTTCAGGTTTTTTCTGATTAATTTAACAAAAATCTTGGCATTCATCCTCAGGCAGAAAGAAGGTGGAAAACATGATGCTGCAGATGAAGAATTTCATTGATATGATTTTCATTACTTCAGTTACTAATGGCAGGATTTCCAGAACAGATAATGAGGTATCATTGTCTTGGGGAGTTTATATAATTTTTACAAATACATGCAAGCAGTAATGAAAATTAATTACTAGCTCATAATTCAGTGGACTTATTGGCTTTACCAGAACAATAACTTTTTTAGCGAAACTGCTGTAATGGATTTTCAACCCCTAGTGCAATAGCCCTGCAATGAAAAAGTGTGTTGAAATCTAAAGAATTTAAATCTTTCACCTTGTTTTTGAGTAAATATTAATTAATAATTATTCATAAAACTACACATGACAAAAGGACTTGTGTTCAGCCACCACTTTCTCCAAATAACAGGCTACCACTGGATCTCTGTGCTTTTCCGTTATATTTCAATAGGAGAAAAGATCTGACAAGCTGGAGAATATCCCAAACTTATTCAAAATCCATTTGTATTCTACTGGCCAAATATATTTTTCCTTCAGTTTTCAGTGACAGTGACTTACAGGTAGACATTATGGGAAAAATTACATAATTCTCAGAAGCAGGACAATGAAATACATCCCTAGTATATGTTAAATAGTACTGAGCCAGAAAATGACATTCTGAAGAAACTCAGAATTGAAAGAATGCATAAAAGGATAGTACAACCAAATACTGTGTTTAGAAACATTAGTAACACCTGATATAACAGGGTAAGACGTAGACAATGACAACCTGAGATATCCAAAATGTTTGGCCATGAAACTGTTCATGAAATGCAGAACTGAAGCTAACATGGTAACAGCTCTTTAGGACTTTGAAAGTCTTACGTAGTGCACAATTATTTATTTAGAAGTTTTGTTATTCCAGACTGGAGTTTCTATGTTCCTGAGAAACAATCCACCATTCACCAACAAGTCACAGCAAGAAGTCACAATAACATTTTTTCCATCACAAAGCTTCTAATGTCTGCATTTTGATACAGTGCATCTCTCTGTTCTTCCTGTTCTCTCAGCCTGTGTCACTCCTCAAAAACTTCAGAAGATCAGGTTTAAGAATTCATCCCCTCTGCCTCATACATGCTCTCCTTTACATTAAATCTGTTTTCATTATATTTTAAAGGCGTGCATAAACAAGTGCTTCACATCAGCTCCACCAAGACATACTTTCTCAATTGCATCCACAGGTCAAACCACCAGCTTTCGGCTTTGCCTTCTTCTCTGGTAATTTCTAAACTGCAAAAGAAGTACTTTCCCTCTTATTTGGCCTTGCATTTTCAGGCTATCTAGAAAGAAAATACAAAGACAGGGAACTAAACTACTCTCAGTAACTCAAAGTATTTCTAATTACAGAGGTATACGTATTTATTACTTGTTTAGTACATGAATGTGAAGAATTGTCATTTCTTAGAATATGTGTTTATGTTGAGATATATTTTCTGTTCAAAGTGCATATATAATGCCTTCTTGTGGCAAATTTAGAGATTTCTTCCAATGTATTATTTCTAACATAATTTACATTATGAATTTATATTCAGAAAAAAATACTTATCTTGGAAAGAAAAAATAAAGAGAAATCAAAATATGCTATGCATTATACTAGGTCAAAATCAGCCATGCTTTTTGTTTTCATTTGTACTTCTTTCTCTGTGACATTTGAGTCACCAAAGCATTTTTTGGATAATTAGGATAAGAAACTCAGTACATTCTGATGAATGATCTTTGCAATTCAAAGTTAAAATATATATAAATATCATGCATATATTATGCATATATATTAACTAACGTTGACATGGTCTTCAATGATTTCTGGAAGTGTTTGTAATACAAGGAAACTCTAAGGAATAAACAGACAACATTGTGGTGAAACATTACTGAAAAAGTTTATCTCCAATTTTCCAATTCTTTGGAAGTACATTCAGATAAATTTCTATCTAGTATTCTAAATGTTAACAACAGCAAATAGAAAAGCTCTTAAGAAACATTTGTATCTATCCTACATTTTTCTTTTGTTGTTGTTTTTTTTTTCTTCTTCTTCCTGATTAAATTTGAATGATTTACAGTGATTAAACATATAAAGTTATAATTTTGGAGAAGGTACTGTGTTCTGCCTGCCATCCAAACTACAGACTTTTTTTTGTCTTCTTGACTTAAAACAAACTACTGCTAATAGATTCAAATAAAGATTCAATTAACAGATGTTCTGGAGAGAGGCAGACAGATAAAAGATAAATATTTAATGGAATGTTTAATGGAATGTTTATATTCTGAGAGAAAAAAATTAAATGTAGACTCACTTTAAATTGTGATTCTTTTAATAAGAAGCCAAGAGCAAAATTAAAGTAATAGAAATGTCAGTACGCTAGAAAATTCTTAGACTTAATTCACAATGCTGTATTATATGATGCTGTATCTCTTCTGCATTAGGAGTTCCATAAAGCCTGTGGTAACTTTGAGTGGACAATTAACAAAACAATAGGCAGAAATCACATCTTAATCTGTTATGACCAATGACCAATTGGTAGATAATATGCTATGACCTATCATTCTTCTTAGCCCTTTTTTTTTTAAGAATAAAATTTGATTTTAAACTGATGACTTAATGTTATTTCAAATTAGCCCATATCTTGATTGGCCTAGGGCCTATAAAAGTACGAAGAATCAGCACTCTTTCAGACTCCACTGAACATCCTCTGACATCATAGGTTTTCACTATCCAAGCCAAGAGTTTGTTAGTGTGTTTTAAGCCACATATTCTAATGAATATAATGGGCTGGTTTTCAAGAAAGGATTTGATGACTGAGATATGATTACTTACCATACTAAAATAGCATTGTTGAAGAGACTTTCAAAACATCTATTGCACTGAAAGTGGGGGGGGGGGGGGGGGGGAAGAAAAAAAAAGGGGGGGAAAAGCAGAAGCTCCTGTCCCTGTGAACTACAAGCATCTGGAAATGAATACCTGTGACAAAGGGAGAAAAGGGTTCACATGACCAAGTATACAGCACCGGACATGAAAAAGACAAGAGCTTCCATTCTGTCCTTTTTAGGATCTTAGAAGTACACAGAGGTATCTATACAATGAAGCAAAATGATCAGTAGAGGTAAAACATCAGTGCAATGTCAACTGCATCATGCTGATTCCAGGAGAAACTGATTCACAGCAAACAATATGACATCCTTTTAAGAAACAGAAAAGAACACTTTGCTGGAAGCAGGAATGCTTCCAGCTATGATCAAGAATCAGAACTTGAACTCCATGGTATCTTGATCTTTTCCACCTCTTCCCCTACGGAGAGCTCTGGATTTGCATGAAAATTACCACTACTTAAGAAAAATTGAGAACAGAGATCTACTTAAAGATCCTGACTTTAGTAACAGCTAGGCTATTATGTAAAAGAAGCTTGATGAGTAAAGAAAGAAATGTCCCTAGGGATTCTGTGTCTTCTGATCCATACACACAGATCCTCAATCTTCTCCAGGGAAGAATGTGCATTATTCAGGTTGTTGCAGACTATGCTCTGTATAGTATGCACAGATTAAGTTATGTCCTTTTTTAGTAACTTTGCTTTTCTTTCATCTTGAGATAAGTTATTTAACTTCTCTTCTGCATGAAAAAAACTTCTGTAGGAAAGTAGCAGGGACAGTTTTCGAAAGGACGTGTTCAGAGGACAAGGCATTTGCAGAGAGCTCCTTCTGCCCTGCACACTCCTAAAGTAACAGCTTCCATATCCAAACAACATGCAGTGAGCAACTAGCTAAGAAATATCATCAGTACCTCTTAGTCTGTACTTACTGAGAGCTAAATAAATTGAAGACTGCAATGTGTACAGTCATTACTTTTCATTTGATGGTGGGAAATAGGATTGGATTGGTATATTACCTGAGACCCAAAAGGAGATGGGTAGCTTTCTGTAATAAGGCTTCTGGGACAGGCTAAAGCCTGTAATATATTACACATACATATTACATACACTGTAATATAACCAGATTTTGTGTTTCAAACCTAAGACAAATGAAACCATAAGGTCTTTTTTTGTGTGTTTTTTTTCTGTTTGCTTGTTTGTTTTTTGCCAACCAGTGAATCACATACTCTATAAACAGTGAAAAAGCTGAATCATAGGCAAAAAAGCCACCTTTCCAAAACCTCCTTCCAACAAGTGAGAGGAAGTGATGTGAGCCCTTAAGCATGTAGAAACAAATCAAGCATCAGGCTGGGGAGTGGCAGCTCATGCTGGAAGCTGCCATGATATCCACAGTGTTGTCATTGGCCTCCTCTATTCAACATTAATCTCTTCTCCCTAATCCTCCTACCTCTATTTTCCTGTTTGGATAAAAAACTTCTCCATTACAGCTCCTGTTTTCTACCCCTGTGGCCTAGTAGATCTCCTCATACCACAAGACCTTCATTCCAAGTTATTCCAACACAGAGACAACAAGCACACTATTGCACCATCTATGCACTTGTGTTTATATTTACAGCTTATTTGGCCTGAAGCCATCTTTAGCACATCAAGGACCATCCCTTTTCATTCAAGTCTTCCTAATGCATATTCTTATTAATTCACTTATTAAGTCCAAATAATGATGACTTGTTTTATTTGTTAAAAGCTAAAAATCCAGCTTTGTCTAAGCAGAGTGGCTCCAGTTATATCACTGACCTCATTTAATCATACTTGCTAAAAGGTGGAAAATCTGACCAAAAGGCTGTGCCTTTCCTAGGAACAGCAATAATGTGTTGCCTCACTGAAGAGGGAGGACCATGAAGGCCTGGTAACATACCAGAATCAGCTTACATCTTTTGTACAGACACAGAAGTATTTATTTGATGATGACCTTAAAGAAATCACAATAGGTCCCTTCCAACTCAAAATATTCTATGATTCTATGACAGAGCTCACTGTGAAGTGCTGGCACAATGACTTCCAGGGAAGCTATTCAGAGCTGTGTCATTCTGCCTGGAGACAACTGGAGTTTTATCAAAATAAGAGCATGTTTGCCCCCTTCCCAGACACATGATACATTAATACAGCTTCACCGATCCTGTTCATAAGTACCATATTTTTCTTAAGCTATGAAAAGACAAATTGTCTCCTGCTAAAGAACTTTCATTGAGTATAAAGTAGTAAAAAGCAAACTGTTTGGTGAATTCAGTCTGACAACGTATTATTAGTTACATTCCAGAGGTTTTATAAGGCTTTGACCTTTGTGATGAAGCCTTGCTCTTCATGAGCAGTCCTTGTTTGACCCATGTGAATAAGCCCATTGACCAGCCAGGACACATTATGCCCAAAGACCTCACGCCATCTCTGATCATTCAGAAGTATCACCAACAGCTTTATCTTTAATGTTTCTTGCAGTCTTTGGATGGCTTGTTATGAATAAAAATATAAAGCACAATTCATATTAGCAGACCTTCAAAACAAAAATCCAATATCTTTCCTAAAATAAATGGATGCATTTCACATTTTCTCCAGTTCTTGTAACTGTGGAAGAAACAAAGATGAACTAATTGAATTACCAATGACCATGCATTTCTGTAAGGGGATTTGACACTCATACATGAAGACAGAAGAAAAAGAACTTAATACCATTTTCTCTTACCATTTAGAAAATGCACATCACAGTATATGCAATTCCTCTGATTTTTAAATAAGGACTGGATCACATTTGATGGTCGCTTTAATGTCTTTACTATATTTTTTTTGAATAATAGTTAGCATCTGACCTTGCTTGAGTAATAAGTTTGTGTTTGTGTTCAAAGCAGAAACTGAATATTGAAGCTCTTGTTAATGAATAGTTATTGAAGATCCAGAGAAATTACCTGATTCTTTTCTACCAGGCCATCTTTACCATTCAACCTGTGTCTTTGGAGATTTCTGTCTTCTTCCTCTACCATCTTCATTGCTCTCACCTTTTAAAACTTTGCTCCTTGTGCTCCTACTGCCTCCAATAATTTTCCACTTTTTCAGGAGCGTAAAACCTATGTGGGGAAGAAAAACGCAAACAAAAACAGAACATAAAAGTCAAACCCCAATCAAAACCTTAAGTAAAAACTCAGATCTGCCCTTGACTTTCTTCTTTCTGGCTGCAGTTAGTGTTTAGGTCTAAAGCTAGGCCTGTGTTCATTAGTATAATTTGTTTGGGTAAGAAGCAAATACCATGCACAGATACAACAAAATCAGCATCTGGTTGTTTTGGCCATGAGTGTCTGCTCAGATCACAGTGTGGGGTCAGAACTGCTCCAATTCCAAAGCTGAGAGCAAGGGACTGACTCTGTGCTGTCACATGTGATGCCACCTGGAGTAACTTCATGCAGTTGTAAAAACCACATGCAACTCAAATCAGGACAAGAAGCAAAACCTACAGCCTGCTTTGTGAATATATCAATAATTAAAAATCAGCTACAAAGCTGAATTGAACTTAATTGTCCTCATCTCCATGTTAGCCAGAAAAATACGCAGCCTGGAAAGCAAGTGTCTTGCATACTTTTCATTTCACTCATAGGGCTTATTCGTGCCAGTAGATATTGAAACCCCACCTCATGGTTTGGAAAAGTAATTTCCATTCCATGAGTTTTGCTTGAAGCTAATGCATGCTATTAGAAAACATCTGAAGTAAAACTTTAACCATTTCACTCAGCCCAGCTGTGAAGTTCAAACTGCTTTTTAAAGTTAATTATCTTGCTCTGACCTGCACATATGCACGTTAAATACAAATAAATCAATATGGCATGCTTATTCATGTCTCAATTTGCTTTTTGTTTTTAAAATTAGCATACTCTTGATTTGCCTAACAGATATACAAGTATGATGATATCTCACAGATTAAAGTTTTGTGTTTGCCTCTTTGTAGTTCTTTCACTATTTTATAAAATTCAAAGTCCTTGAGGGAGTGTCGGAAATCCCCATAATTTTCTTCAATGTTCTATTTTACCTTTTTATCTCTGATATAGCTAGCACATTTGAAAAAGAAATGCAGATAGCCAGATGACTCCCTGGTATTCATATATACCAAAGTACAGACAAATGCAAGTGACTTGAACTAATGCTGACATTGATTCACGCCTGAGTGTTTTGTTGTCTTTTCCTAAGGATGCCTTATTAGGAACATGTGTTTGTGATCTTAACTACAAAATTTTTCTTCTGAACTTTGAGAAGAAAAAGTAGAACTGTCAAACTTTTTTTTTTTTTTTTAAAGGTTAAAACAAATATTTGAGAAGGATAGTTACAATCACCATAGTTTCCACTGCTGGTTATTTTGTAGTACCACTGTCCTTTGACTGGCATTGTCACCTACTACAATTCTTCTAAAAAATTCTACTAAAAGAGAGGTTATTTCATATCTTTGCTTTGTGGTTTTCTGAGCACTCTCCTCTGAATCAGCCAGCACAGACCACAGCAAGAGAGAATATAGAGTTAGCTGATTCACTCCTGCTGCTTGGTGTGGTGATCTCTAACTGCACTTAGTTGTGGGGATTTTCCAAAGCAGACAAGTGACTTCTCCTCTTGCCAGGTTGCTGCTGTCAGATTTTGAGGCATTTGGACATTACCACATCTCAAGAGTGCGCAGCATCATGTTCACACCACCCGGCCATTAAATGAACAAGCTCACTGGTGGTTTAGTTTAACAGTTCTCAATGGCAGCAAATGCCCATGCATTTTGTCATGGTTTCCCTGTATTAAACAGAACTAGAACAAAAACAACAGAGATCTGGAGAGTTTAGTTCACTTAGTGGCATCATCTAGTCTGTCCTCAAAGTGTGATATGAAGTGAGTAAAGCTTTGCAAAATTCTGAACTCCATTCTTTTTGAGAATCAGCTGCAAATCTGATGCTTCACTTGAGAGGAAGAAACATCCCATACATTCAGGCTCTGAGATTATGATGTCTCATAATGCAGTAGTTTCTTGTTGAAGAAAACACTGATGTTTGCCTGGCACAGAAACCTGGGGAAGAAACTTTCTGAATAGTGCGACCCCAATACATGTAGGTGAGCTTTCACAAAGTGGTTTGTATACTGACTACAAAGACATCCAAGTCATGGACTAGACTTGCTCAGTAAGGGCAGTGTACTGTGGTTACAAAGCACTAGTATTATTAGCTGTTTTAGTTAGTATGGCTAGACTGTAACAGCTGGAAACAAAGCTGTAACTTGAGTGTGGGCACTGATTCACTTTGAGTCCTTGTTTACTTGTTAACATATTTCTGCCTGTAGGACAAGCCTCCATAATGGGACAAGGCTCCGTAAGTATTCAGAAGTAGTGCTGCAATAGCATTCAGCTGTGCAACCCTCATCTAGATTACTGAACACTTACCCTTGCAAAAGTGGAAATCTTGATTCAGAAGCATTCATCCCAAATGTCAAACCAAAACAGAATATACTCAAAAAAGAAAGAAAGAAAGAGAGAAAAAAAAATCCAAAATATTAAGGAAAACCTTTCCACAGGCCTTGGCTATGAAATAGCCCAGAATCCAAATACAACTGTTTGGAACACCCTAGTGGCTTTTGGAGAGATGCTGCAATTTCCATTTTCAAAACATCTTGGTTAAATGTTCAAGTGTCTGTTCCCTGACTGCAAAAACCCCACGGAAATTAAAAAAAAAAAAAAAATAATAATAATAATAAAAAAAACGAACAACAACAAAACCAGAAAGTCTGCAAGAGGTAACATTCAGGACCTCAGGCAAAACCGAGCCGCTCCCTGCCTCCCGAACTGGGGAAAAGATTCTGAAAGCCAATGGAAAACTCCTGGTACAATCAGCAGGCTGAGCTACGAATCTAACTACTGCTAGAATGTTTTTTCACTTGTTTGTTTGTTTGTTTTTTTAGTTCCAAATAGGGGAAATAATTCAGAAACAAACAAACAAACAACAACAAAAAAAAAACAGAGAGAGAGAGAAAGAGAAAGACACCTCCCTGTCCGGCGCTGGGTATGACCTGGTTTCTTCCTCCCCACAACCCTGCTTCGTTCCCTCTCTTCACAGTGACATCTACCGGCCTGCCCCGAAGGCTGCCCCGCACCGTCCCGCTCGCAGCCCGGGGCCGCTCTCCTCCCGCACGGAGCCCGCAGCGCTGCCGTCGGGGCACAGCGGCGGCCCCTGGTCGGCCCGCAGCACCGACGGGAGGAAACTTTCTCAGCGAGTTTCTTCCCAGCGAGCTCCGCGGCTGCGCGACATACGCGGGTGCGAGCCGGCGGGGAAACTGGAGAGCAACCTGCTGCCGCCTTTCTCCTGGGACGAGCCGGGTGCTGCTCCCTCAAAAGGCTCTTATTGCGTCGGGAACCCCCCCGAGCGATCAGGCTGCGCGCCTACTCTGTGCTGCCGAACGGAGCTTGGGGCGGGCCGACGGCTCCGCGTTCCGCGGGGTGTGGCCTCGGCATTATTTATGAGCTCCAGCCCCTATTTGCTCAGCTAATGATGCACCGCCGTGCCTTGCCTCTCAGCGCGGCGGCGAGGGCCGGGCAGCGCTGTAACTGGAAACCGGAGCCTTCACCGTCACCGCGCGGCCACTTTCCATTCACTTCTAGGTGCTTCATTGAGGGCTGGGGAGAAGCGCTCCCGGTGCCTTAGGATTATTTCACAAAGGAATTGGGAGTACCTTTGCTACCACGAAGAAGAGAGACTTTTCTTTATGGTTTGTTTTTATTTTATTTTATTCTATTTCTCCTCCTCACCATGAGCTAGGTTTGGAATTAAAACGTTCTGGTAACAGGAGTGGAGCTCATAAACTGATAGAAACCAGATAGAAATCTGTATTACTGGTTCCTTCAATAGCTAGGTAAGCATGATTGGAAGTTCTCTTTCTCTACTGTAATAAATGTGAAATGTGTTTGATATTTGAATTTCCCTGCCGTTTAAGTAATATTTTCTGGATTAGCATAGCCTGGATTTGAGGTTTTCCTTTTTATTCCTTTCTTTCTTTTCTTCTGGTGAGTGGTTTTCCTTGTGGGATGTCAGGCTAAGAGTGAGGCTGCAGCAGATGACACCTGCACAGCACTTATGGCAGGGCTGTGTAATACTTTCCAAAGCAAAGCTGTGTGCTGGAAGCAACCTCTGTGACAGGAAAGCTTCAGCACTTCAGTAGCGGTTTGCTGGTTTGTTTACAGCTTGAGTAAGGTCTAACAGCAGACATGGACAGAAATGGAGTTGCTTTTTGCTTTTTGTTTGTCCAAAAAGATTATTTAAGAGGACTTGAAAAGATTTGAGGTCTGTGTGTTGTCAGCGCAGGTCATGTGCATGGGACGTGCTGAATATAGTATCATGACTTACTGAGATAAATTCAGAGCTGGGATATAAGCCCAAATAGGCTTCAAACCTGCGATGAGTTTGTGCTCAGTTACTAGATGTGTAAATCTCTGAAATGTACCTTACTGCCATTAGGTTACTGACATGTCAGACACCCTGAGATACCTCTGTGACACTGTATGCATTTATTATTTATGTGTCTAACAGCTGGGTAGGAGCCATGCTGCTTACAGCCTCGATCTTACATTTGCCTGTCACTTCTGTGTGAACAGTGAAGATGTGTGATTTGAGCAATGAAATGTAGTAATGTTTCAGTCCTGTAGCTGATTGCGCTGGAGTTGGCAGGAGGCATGAGAGTGGGAAGGAAAGAGTGCTGAAAGGTTTATTTTTTATTAGTATTATTTCTTACAGTATCGTTTAAGAGAAGACAGAAAGTCATATGCTTGTTCCTCTGACTTTTCATCTCTATTGCAAAGAAAGCAAAGTGCTACTACTGTAAAATACTAATCCCACTGCATCTCTTAAATCACATGTTCAGTGTGATTGGCTATTTGTTTTGGCCTGACAAAGCAATCTTATCAGGATTTAATGGCCTCTCTCTCTATTAGAAGAGGGCTAAGTTAAAGGATATCCCATGAGCTGGTTGCAAGGTTTTGAATTTAAAGCCCACAAAGCAGCATTAATGTTGGAGTTCATGCAGCTTGTTTAAGAATTATTCTTGGCAAAAGTCTTCAGCTATCATTTTATTAGTTAACAGACCTTTAGAAATAATTTGGAAGTGGGCCATGATGAATATGTTTCTTCTGTAGACCAGATCTGTATCTGGAAAATTTCTGACACCAGTGTTTGTGTCAATTAGCAGAGTGGTAGCATTACTTGGTCTGAATGCATGTCTCAGTACTCTAGAGCTAACTGGGCAGGGCAGGGTACAGTATGGGCTACAGAGTTGTTCCCTCCTGTATGCTCTCTTCATTCCACACCAACTTACTGTGAAAGTCTAATGCAGAGAGAAGCCTTTAAAAATGAATTACAGTGCATGGATAGGGAATGACAGAGCTGGTAATTGAGATGGAGCTTTTACCTCTTAGTGATGTGGATCCAGCCTGAACTGGTGCTGACCTAAAGTCGTTCCTGTCTGACAGATGGTTCCTGCCATGATGGGATGGTTACAGCCAGTTCTTTTAGAAAAGGTTTGAATCACAGAAGAGACTCAGTGAACAAAGATGTAGAAATATTGTCTTCCACTGGAGGGACTGCAGTGCTAGAGCTGAGGTAAAGAAGTGTAAAGTGGTTGCACAGGCAGCAACACTCTTCATTAAAGAAATATGTAGACTTCAAAGGTATCTTCTGGCCTTTGGAGTTGTGCTTTTCAAGGTGGTGCCATTTGCTATAGAACTAAATATATCACCTGATCAGCCAGTAGATAGTGTCCAGTAGAAAGGCTGTTAATGAAAAAAAAAAAAAAAAAAAAAAAAAAAAAAAAAAGTTTATATGTAATATATATATTTATAATATAGTATACATAATATAATATTATATATACATATAAAGACCAGACCAGGCTGAGCTGAAGAAAATCATGGACACCATGATCAAAGTTCTCAGAAGTAAAATAAAATCTGAACATCACAATTTTTGGAGAGATGCAGTTTAGGAACATCATAGATACATAGTATTCAGTTACTAATATTTGGGTTTTATGGGTTTAGTCCAAAGTCAACTGGAATTGGTAGGAAAGTGACACTGATTCCAGTGAGCTATGCCCATTGTGAGTCTTCCTGACCTGTGAAATGGTTGCAGATTTGTTTTGGAATGTTTTCTTTTCTCTGAAGAGCTCAGTATTCTCAACAGCTTCCCCCTATAAAATGAATGTAGATTCAGCAGATGTATAGGAGGAGTAGCTCAAGTATCAAGTGTTTACACACTGTCCAACTCAGGGCAATTTTAGTGCTCTGTGAAGGTCTAAGAGAGAAACTAAGTGTCCCAAAAGGAGCTAGACCAAAAAGCAAATGTTGATTAATAGTTTAAAGCATGTTGAAATACTTTTGGTTTCAGTGCTTTTGAGATTAGTGACGTACACACTCAAGATTTCATCTTAGAAGAGGGTATAGAGGGCTATTAGAGCACTCAACTCAAACTCAAAACTCATTTCCAAATGCCTTTGATTTCAAATGTTAAAAAAAAAAAAAAAAAAAAAAAATCAAATATGATGTTAACTAAGGCAAGAGGTCTAAAAATATCAGCCAGCTTTTTATTCATGAAACTTTATCTCCTGTCCTTGCTTTGCTCTGCCTTGACATTTAGTATAATTATTTTTCCAGCAGGTGGAATTGTCTTTATTTAAATAATCTGAATTTAATGCTGTAGTCTTCTGTAGCCAAAACTAGGGCTCTGCAGGTTCATTCTAACAGCAGAGAGCTCTTATTGTGCCAGCACAGAGCACAGCTGGAGAATACCATTTTCAGATCTATAAAGAAAGAACAGAAGTGCTCTACCTCCTTCATGTTATCGTATATTATGGCATCAGATGGGAGAGCATTTTAGCACAGATTGTTCTTTAGTGCTGTCTGTGCTCCACAAAACTATGTAACAACATGTAATGCCAGCTTTCTTTCTTTCAGGTTTCATTTCTTGGATATTAAGTTGCAAATCTGAAGAGATGGCATTTCTTGTACTGCACGTGGTGATTGGGATATTTATTTACTTTAGCAATGTAAAAGGATCTTCCCAGCCTCAAGCAAGGGTATTTTTAACATTCAATGGTAAGAAAAAAGAAAAACATTCTTATGTTGTGATTGAACATTTTCATCTTCACCTTCAAATAACTAAGTAGTAATTGTGTATTTAGTCTGTGCCCACAATTTATTTTTGGTTTGTGTTGTTGAGGTACTTGTCAATCTAAATTTGATTCTCTCCTGAAGTTCATTGCTCCTTATGCATATATCCCTTTTCTTTATTTGAAGTAATAATCCCTTTCCTTTATTAGAAGTTATTATGTCTTAGGAACAACTAAAGATTTTATTTCTTATCTTCTTTTCTTTTTCTTTCTCTTTTCTTCTCTTTTCTTTTCTTTTCTTTTCTTTTCTTCTCTTTTCTTCTCTTTTCTTCTCTTTTCTTCTCTTTTC